CATTGTCATTTTCAAACCCAGATGTCCTTCGAAAATCAAGCAGATAGTAACGCTCCCGTCTGTATGGGCCGAGATATCCATTCGGTGTTAGGTATCCAGCATCCACCAAATAATATTTTCCTATATAAAAAATGAAATTATTGTAAATTATGTTTCTATTGTTAAGCTAAATATAAAAAAAATGTAGGAAATAAAAAAATACCTTCAGGTGGATGGGGAAAGTTCATTGAAGGAGTTGTGAGGGCATGATCAAATATCCAAGCATCATGTGCGCTACCTTCCCATCCGACCAAGACAAAAGTAAAACACATGTCCCAATCACAAACCGCCATGACATTTTGTGACACTGTTCCTTTCCTAGAGATAAATTTAGTTTGATCTGTTGCACTGACAACGCAGGAAACATGTGTGCCATCAATTGCTCCAATAGCATGTTTAAAAAAAGGCCAGTACTTACCAAACTGAATTTTTGTATGAACATGCCGGAATGTTGGATCTTTTGGTTTGATATTAGACATAGCAAGTCTACAGCATGCCATTAGGACATTATGAAAATGTCTGCTAATTGTCTCCCCTAAATGTTGAAATCTTTCTTGTTGCATTCTGCTACTAAGTGCATGGCCATCGGTATGTAAAAACATTGCAACTGATTCATGTAACCCTATATTTTTAGTTTCTTTTAGACCATGTTGTTGCAATTGTTCCACCAGACTTAAGAACACATCCCGTTCCATCCTAAACATGTTATAGCAACGACTGGGGTTGCCATGTAAAACATCCCTTACCCATAAGCTACCTGTATAAGCACTTGTATGCCGAGGCTCCTTACACAAGTTCAAAGTAGCGTATGCACCGACCAATGCTGCAACTTTGTTAACCCTTTTATTTGTCCCTTAGCATGCTCTTCCACATGTTTAATTTCATCATCCATATTCGTTTTATCCTGTGCACATACACATAAAGTTTAGAATTCCTACATAGAAATTACGAAACATTTATAAAAGTTACAGAGTTGTTTGATTCATATAACAACCCGCTAGTCACATAAAACGATACACATATGGAACTGTCTAATATAATAAACAAGTCATAAATCCCTAGTGTAAAACTCCAAAATAGGCAGAAGTTGTTCCTTCTAATCCTTCAGAGCTGCATAAATTTCCCGTGCCTCCGGCCGTTCCATAAGGAGTTGTGTGCACCGTCTAAAGAAATCAGGATCACTGACAACTTCAGGAATTGTTTTGAGGTGAGACAGGACTCCCCTAATTGAAATCTCATAAGCACGCGCTTCTTCTTCCAACCTTCTAGCTTCCACTCGTGAAATGACCTCATTTCCACGCTCAGCCTCAGAAATATTTGTTTCAGCAATCTTGCTAAGTGCATCCGCTATTTTCATAGAGGGAGAGGTGCGTTTCTTCATGACTTCACTCTTCCTTCTGACCCCCAGTGAACTACTAGGTCGACTCCCACCTCTGCTCGTACCCCCACCACTATTATCCTACCTTAATTTAGTGTTGCCCCCACTACCTCCACTATTGTCATTGAAGTTCACTGAGTTAAATTCCCCACTTATACCAGTTGGTGCACCTAAAATTTCATCACTATCTCGGACCTTCTTCCAAATCTTCATTCAGTGTTCTTCACTTGGAAGCATCATGGAAGAAGGTGCCCATGCTTGTGGTCCAGTTGCAGCCACACTCCCAAATAGTTGAGTTAATTGATCCCTAAATTGAAGTCCTCTTTCTCTGAATTTTTCGTAGTTTGGAACTTCCTGCACATTATACACCAATAATATCATAAAATATTCCAAAAACAGTAAATATACACAAAACATTAACAAGTAGAGAAAATGTAAGATCAAAAGGTTCAATAATTACCCTTATTTTTCTCTCCCACCAATCATCAGTTGCATTGACAGTATTCCTTTCAGTATCCCATCCCAATCCTGTCTCACGAAGCAGTCTATCCCATGTCTGCCACTCCTTTCGTAGGGAATCATATTTATTCTTAAATTGAGCTTTTTCATACACTCTTCCAGTTTTGGCAGTAAATTTATCACCAAGAATATCCCAAGCTTTCTTTGTTAAGCTAGTACCTTTTCTTTCCTCTTGTCGCACAAGTTCAATGCATAGGTCAATAAACACTTTCGTGGTTCGTAGGTCCCAGGAAGCTTTCACCGTATTCTTACCCATTATGCTATATCACAATTACAGCTCTTTAGTCATCACAAATTAATCAACTCAAAATTAATTGAAATAACAAGTGTCATTGTTACCCAAATCAACTATGAATACCATATTAACATTTTTCTTTCTTTCATTATTATTTAAAACAAAAAGAAATTCAATCTATGTATTTATAACAAGTAATTAATTTTTTTAATCCAACATAAAATGGAATTATGTTCCCATTCCTTTCATGACTAAAAAAAATTAAATAAATTAATTTTAATTACCACAAATACAACATCCTATAATTTTATTGAAAACAGGATTACGAAAAATAAAACATAAGGATTACAAATATATGTCTTTGGAAAAACTAGTCACTTGAATAGACCGAAAACCAATCCTCTGACTGAAATCAGATAAACCAAGCTACACAAATGAATCCTTGAATGAAAATCAACCCACCACTGAAGCAGAACGTCGACAATAACTATCAACCAAGCAAAACCAACACCCACCAAACACCCCAAGCCAGTACTGAAAAAAAAAATTACCCCGGTCAGACGACAAACCATGACAAGTTCAATGCACATTAAAAAATGCAGAGTATATAAAACAAAATTTTAGACAGCTCGGTCATCATCAACGTTGAGTGCTCGTAAAAATTATAAGGCGGCAAACTACAAATATTAAACACAGATTTCCATTTGCTATATTTGTGCGTATGAGAGTCCGGTGAAGGAGACGTGGAGCTAGATAAACAGATCTCAGAACCAAAAACAAATTCACAGATTATCAACCAACCGAAGATACCATATATCAGGCTCAAACCAACCGGACATATTTATACAACTTTAATCTATCGGTTCCACAAAAGTAGTTTTTTTTTTGTTTTCGAATCTCTTATCTGATCCGAATTGATTTCACAAAAATCCCATTCACTCCGAATTTTGATCGTGCTACGGTTCCCCCATCGTGCTACGGTTCCCCCCGGTTAACAACTCGACGTCGCAGCCCGTAGAGGAAGAAACAGAGGCTGCTCTGGTTTTGGCTTGCAAGTTGTGTGATCCAGAATCCACAAATACTCAAATGAAAATTGATCTCAATTGACAATGAAATTAACAGAAGAGATCGAGTAGCAGAGGATAAATGCCGGATCTGAGCCAGCTTACCTGAGCGTCGGAGAAAGAGCCAGGGAACACTGACCGCCGCCGAATGCTTCAGAGCGAACCTGAGCGCCAGAACTCACAACTGATAGCTACGATCTTCTTCCGCCGAGCTGCGATTTCTCTCACCGGCACCTTCAAACCATGGCTGGACGGCGACTTCTTCACGGGCGGCGACTCGTTCTGTTAAGGAGGAAAGATCGAAGGGGGAAAGGAAGACCGTGCATGGCGACTTCTTCTGAATGGAACCGAAAGCGTCTCCAGAGGAGGTGGACCGAGTGGGGAAGAAAGCTAGAGGAAGTTTCGACCGAACTGGAATGGAGCTCTGAAGATACTTTGGACCGACTGGAATGGAGCTCTGAAGTTTCGACCAACTGAAGATAATTGAAGCCAGAGGATAATTGAAGCCGGGGCTATTCGGTCATGTGAGGAGGGCCCACCATCAACCTTCAATAATTGGAGCCAGAAGCGGAAGAAAATGGCTTCTGATGAAACCATGGTTTGGGGGTTCAAAACCATGGTTTCCCCCAAACCATGGTTTTAAATATTTCAGAGGCTGTTTGGCTAGCATTTTCCCCAAACCATGGTTTGGGGTGCTTGCCAAACAGACCCTAAATAGGTTTTGGAAATCAGAACAGAGTTGACTCTGCCATAGCTTGCTGCACAATATAGTTTCGCCAAGGAAACAGAGGCCAGAGATGTAAATTATACTGATGAGTGAATTCCCATGTATATTAAAAAACCAAAGTCATTAGCCCGACAAAAAAAAAATCACCAAAAGAAGGACAGAATGTTTTGTGCAGGTCAGAATCTTTCAAGGATGTGTGAAAGATAAGAGGAAAATTGTTAGATTCCAACCAGATATGCCTCCAATAGATTGTTGTCATCTGTGAGAGATCCTCCTTTCGTCTCAGACCTATTCACTAGCCCAATACTACGACATTCTGTTGTAAGAAAAGAGAGTAAGAATATTCAATCGAAAATTTGGTTGTTTAGCAAGTCAAGATGAGATTATTTTGTAAGAAAAGAGAGTAATAATACTTATATGCTCAAGTTAGGTGAATAATTCTTAGAGTATAAAATTAATTAGGTGTACTTGCTTCTGGGGATGAATTATTTGATATTTTGATGAAAATGGCCGACATATATATATATATATATATATTTCAAACTGGACCACCATATTTCCTCCACACAAAAAAACTGGACCACTACGTCACCCAAAAAAAAAAACTGGACCACTATATTCGCCACCATCGATAATCACCTTTCACTAGGGATTTGCAATTGGCGTTTATGATTTAAAAGCCACATGAATCGTACGACAGATAAATTAATTGATTTTAATTGATTTTTTTATAGTTGTGATCTGAAGTCATTGTCATTCAATAATATAATTTTTTTATACGAAGCACTTGGCAGCTTTTTATCCCACTGACTATGATGGAGACATTCTGGAATTATTAAATGAGATAATATAAATTTCATATCAATAAGTACTTTATTTCTACTGTAGCAAGTCCATGGCATAAAATTTACGTCAAAAGAGAGAGTGTAGCTTGCAAAATAAATTACAATTCATGCCTATAAAAGGCGTAGGTTGAAAACATAAAACCTCGAACTTAACTTTAAGTAACCATCATTCTTTCAGTACATGAACGATCATATGGAGATACAGATCCCTTATACTATCATCTTCTTCACTTTCTTCTGCTTTTTCTTTGTCATCCACAAGCTATCTTCTTCCACAAAACCGATCAAAACCTTACCTCCGGGCCCATGGAAATTACCTCTCATAGGAAATCTTCACCAACTCATTGGCTCACTACCTCATCGTACTCTAGCAAATCTTGCAAACAAGTATGGACCCTTCATGCACCTTCAACTGGGACAGCTTTCTCATATCATAGTTTCTTCACCTGAATATGCCAAAGAAATAATGAAGACCCATGATCAGATCTTCGCAAACAGACCCAGAACTCTTGCCTCTGATATCTTTGCCTACAACAGCACAGACATCTTGTTTTCCCCCTGTGGAAACTATTGGAGGCAACTTCGAAAGATTGGTACTTCAGAGATTTTCTCAGCAAAGAGGGTTCAATCATTCAGAAGGATTAGGGAAGAGGAGGTATCAGAACTTGTAAGGAACATCGCTGAACATGACGGCTCTTTCATGAACCTCAGTAGAAATATATTCACAATCACGAATTCGATAATTGCTAGAACGGCCTTTGGGAAAAAGACAAAGAATGTAGAACATATCTTGGAAAATATGGAGAAATCGATAAAGATGAGTTCTGGGTTATCTATTTGTGATTTATATCCGTCGCTGAAATTTATCAGTGTCATCACTGGGACGAGAGCTCGAATGATGAAGTTGCAAAAAGATGGAGACAAGGTTTTCGATGACATCATTGGAGATCACAAAGAAAAGGAGAGAAATAACGTTGGAGATGCAGAGGAGGATCTTGTTGATGTTCTTCTCAGGATTCAAAAGAATAATGACTTTGACATCCCCTTATCTCTTGACAACATTAAAGCTGTTCTTAAAGTTAGTCTTCGTGGGCACTTTATCATATATTAATAAATGTCAGATAATTTGAATTTTATACACAAAATGCACAAGTGCACACACTCATCAATTCCTCTAATCAATTCTGTGAATTCCTTTTTCAGGACGTCATGTTTGGTGGAACTGACTCAACGGCATCTACAGCAGATTGGGCGATGTCAGAATTGCTCAAAAACCCAAAGGCTATGAAAGAGGCACAAGAAGAGGTATCGATACAACTGGAATTTTGAATGTTGCGTATCATAATTATTAGTGTTTTTACATTAATTTATAAATTTGAAATTATTGAGTTGACTTGTACATGAGTATTGTTATTGGCTTTATACTAGGTAAGAAGAGTTTATGGAGGCAAAGGATATGTAGATGAATCACAACTTCACCAACTAAAATATTTAGGTGCTGTCATTAAAGAAACCTTAAGGTTACATTCACCTGGGCCATTGTTAGCTCCAAGAGAAAACTACGAGAGTTGCGAAATTAATGGATATGTGATACCTCCTAAGACAAAGATTATTATTAATGCTTGGGCCATTGGAAGAGATCCCAAGAATTGGACTGACCCAGAGAAGTTTGAACCAAAGAGGTTTCTTGATACAATGGTTGAATACAACTTCAAAGGTTCAAAGTTTGAGTATATCCCATTTGGTGCTGGAAGAAGAATATGTCCTGGATCAACATTTGCTACGCCTATTCTAGAGTTGTTACTTTCCAATTTACTTTACCATTTTAACTGGAAACTACCAAAAGGAATGAAGGTTGAGGAATTGGACATGGAGCAGCCATTTGGTGCCGCAGTAAGGAGGCAAAATGATCTGATTTTAGTTCCTATTGGCTATTCCCCTTGAGTTTATGTGTTTAGTACCTGAATAGTGCTTTAATTAGCTGGTTTTAGATATCCTTGAATGTGTGTTGTTGAAGCCAGAAATAAATTATAAAAGATCGTTTTGCATTGAATATTTATTTTGTGGAAAATTATAAATTGGATGCTTTTTAATTTCAGAAAAGAGAGTAGCAAAATAAACCTTAAAATTGCGTAAACGATTTGTTTGTTTCTTATTATTAGTTCTCTCCAAGTCTCTGCAATATTACCTAACATTAAACTGATAAAATATAGGTTTAAATTTTTGTTGCTATTTTTTTATTCAATAATATTCAAAATTTATTAGCAATAATTAAAATTTCATTCAACAAGATTGATTGTAATATAATTCAAAGGTAACCCGGATTTTTCGTTTGTATAAAAAACTCTAACTCTATTTATTTCGATTAAAATATCACAATTTGTACGTGTGTGCTATATAATCTAAAAACGAATTCAACAAGATGCCATGGTTGTTGATTAAGCAACGAGACCCGCAAAATTTAAAGATTCGTGGACTTAATCTACAGACAATTAATTTTAATATTTTAATTTGAATCAGATGCTGCACTATTGCCCTTTAATTTTAAATTAATCAAGGGTCAGTGATTTAAATCGGCCGGGGTTAACGTACCCACATTGCCGATGCACTGTTATTCAAAGGTATGCATGTTGGGATTGGTAGGAAAAAAAATGTCAAAGTTGATGTGAATAAACTAAAGATCTTAAATCAATTAATGACAACAAATATTTATATATTTTTACTTAAATTTATGTGTTTGATTTGTTGCTTCAATAATGTTTCGACCAGTTTTAGTTACCCCTGAATCGATGTTGCGGAAGCCAGAAATGAATAAAAAAATCGTTTTGCTTTGAATCTTTTTCGTGTGTAAAATTATAAATTAGCTGCTTTTTTAAACCTTTTTTTTGTAAAATGCTTTTCTTAATAATTTATTCATACCATAAATATCAAAAGAAAGTCCCTCCTTCAAAGAGGGAGAGAGTATATTTATAGTGGCGCATCATTAAAGTTATAATTTCTAAGAAAGGAATTTCCCTCCTTCAAAGAGGGAGAGAGTATATTTATAGTGGCTTGTTAATTGCATTTTTGTATTAAATTAAAGTTATAATTTCTAAGAAAGGAATTTCCGTACAAAATATTAATTAGAGTGTATATTCTTTATCCCATCAATAATAAATAAGACTCTGGAGGAGCACAAAAAATTTATTATCAAGAAAATTACATATTAAAAAATTTTAAATTTAAATTTCATCAAAACAGTAAACACTTGACTAATGAGGATCATTTACTTCTGGAGCGGATCATTTACTTCTGGAGGGGCGGCTTCTCTCCATCTCCCTTCCGCAGCCCCGTCCCTGCATGCATGTACCTTAATTCGTGGGAATCTTTCTTCGTTAGCCAACAAGTAACAACATCATAATATAAAACTTCAAATAAACATTGTTTGAACGGTAGCAAATTCAATGGCATAAAACATACGTCGAGCGAAAAGTAAAGGGAAAAAAATCATAAAGTCGATGGTTACGTAGAAATTTTAAATTACAATTCTTGCCTATAAAAGGCGGGCTTAACAACGCAAAATCTCACACTACTCACCTTTAATTACCATTCTTTCAATATGGACGTACAGATCCCATATTCCATCATCTTTTTCACTTTCTTTTGCTGTTTCTTTGTCATCCACAAACTATCTTCTTCCACAAAATCTATCAAAACCCTACCTCCAGGGCCATGGAAATTACCTCTCATAGGAAATATGCATCAACTCATTGGCTCACTACCTCATCGTTCTCTGGCAAATCTTGCGAATAAGTATGGTCCATTCATGCACCTTAAACTTGGACAAGTTTCTCATATCATAGTGTCTTCACCAGAATATGCCAAAGAAATAATGAAGAACCATGATCAGATCTTTGCAAACAGACCCAGAATTCTTGCCTCTGATATCTTTGCCTACGATAGCACAGACATCATCTTTTCCCCATATGGAAACTACTGGAGGCAACTTCGAAAGATCGGTACTTCGGAGATTTTCTCAGCAAAGAGGGTTCAATCATTCAGAAGGATCAGAGAAGAGGAGGTATCAGAACTCGTAAGGAATATTGCTGAACATGAAGGCTCTTTCATAAACCTTAGTAGAAAAATCTCCACGCTCACGAATTCCGTAGTTGCGAGAACGGCCTTTGGGACAAAGACAAAGAACGTAGACCAGATGCTGCAAATTATGGAGCAATCGATAAAGCTAAGCTCTGGGTTATCAATTTCTGATTTGTATCCGTCGCTGAAATTTATCAGCGTCATCACTGGGACGAGAGCTCGAATTATGAAGGTGCACAAAGATGGAGATAAGGTGTTTGATGACATTATCAGAGACCACAGAGAAAAGAAAAGAAATAATGATGGAGACACAGAGGAGGATCTTGTTGATGTTCTTCTCAGGATTCAAAAGGATAAGGACTTTGACACCCCCTTATCTCTTGACAACGTTAAAGCTGTTCTTAAAGTTAGTCTTCATATGCAGTTTATCATATTCTTTTTTGGCCAGATGCACTTTATCATATTGAATGTTACATAATTTGTAATTTATTTTGATACTCAGATTGCATAAATGCACATACACACATTCCTCTAATTAATTGTATGAATCCCATTTTCAGGATATTTTCTTTGCTGGAACTCAAACAACAGCAACTACAACAGAATGGGCGATGTCAGAATTACTCAGAAAACCAAAGGTCATGAAAGAGGCACAAGAAGAGGTATAGATAAAATTAGCTAGAATTTTGAATGTTGCATCAAAATTTTGTGGTTGTTTGTGTATACAAACATATATTACTCGTATAGTATCTAATGATATTTTATTTGATTAATTTATTCACATTGATTTATAAATTTGAAATTATCGAGTTGACTTATCCTTGAAAATTATTATTGACTCTGTATTAGGTAAGAAGAGTTTATGGAGCCAAAGGATACGTAGATGAATCAAATCTTCACCAATTGAAATATTTAAATGCTGTCATCAGAGAAACTCTAAGGCTACGTTCACCATTAGCATTGTTGGTTCCAAGAGAAAGTAGTGAGAGTTGTGAAATTAATGGATATGTGATACCTCCTAAGACAAAAGTTATCATTAATGCTTGGGCCATCGGAAGAGATCCCAAGAATTGGAGTGATCCAGAGACGTTTGAACCAAAGAGGTTTCTCAATACGATGGTTGATTATAACTTCAAAGGGTCAAACTTTGAGTATATCCCATTCGGTGCCGGAAGAAGAACTTGTCCCGGATCCACATTTGCAATGCCTATTTTAGAATTGTTACTTTCCAATTTACTTTATCATTTTGATTGGAAACTACCAAAGGGGATGAGGCCTGAGGAATTGGACATGAATGAGTCGTTTGGTGGCTTCGTAAGGAAGAAAAATAATCTCATTTTAGCTCCTATTGGCTATTCCCCGTGAGTTTATACCGTACGTGTTTATTCTACGAATAATGATATCTCGGCCGATTTTATGTATCCTTGAACCTATGTTGTGGAAGCCAGAATAAATTATGAATAAAAAATATCGTTTTGCATTGAATATATATTGTGTTAAATTATACTCCATCTGTCTATTTTTATAAGAAGCAATCTCTCTCATAACAGTTTTCCTAACAAATTCTTTTTATCTAAAATTTTAAATTAGTCTTTTCACTTTTACCACATTAAAATGTGTCACTTTTTATCTCTGTGCCGTAAATGTAGTAACTAGATCATCATCTTATTGATTAGACCCCTTTCAGACATGTAAGTAACTAGGATATTTTGAGGGAAAAATTATAAATTCAGAAAACGGATTTTATATTTAAGGCAAAAATTAAACCCCAAACCAAAACTAGCTCCCAAGGAGTATAATATAGTGCTATATAAAAACCTTGTTGGAAATATGGCATATCAGGCTAAAAGATCCGTTGAAAAAAAATCAGGGTGAAGGAAAAAAGAATGTGTTTGTGTCATAAAAGGCGTACTTCACCACACAGAACCTTGTAACTTGGCTTTCGTTGCCATCATCTTCACCTTCTGCTAGCTTCATCCTTGCAAAAACCTACCGGCTTAATGATTACATTTCATGTGGATCTAAGCTAAAGGGAGGTTTCAAGTTTCTCTTTATAGTTATCAATTTTTATATGTTCACTTGACTAAATAAATCTTCACCTTCTTGTGCCTCATCTTGTGATCCCGCGGCAAACTCTCTTTATCCAAGTTACCTCTCAAAGGTGACGATTTATCTTAGTTTATGTAAAATGTATTTATAAGTGATTTTCACTGTTATCTTAGTTTAGTAACTAAAGTTAGCTAGTCTAGTTATTCAGCTTGACACGCATGTGTCCCCTCTTTAGAAGTGGGAATGATATACTAGGTCACTGTATTTCACGCAGGCGCCCCGTCCACATCACGCTTACTGTTAGGCCACTAATTTGTCTTAAAATTGAAAATTTTGCACCTTCTCTCTTGTTCAAATTTGCCTCACATTTCTCTTTTTTCTTGATATCTAATGTATGCCACCAATGAATAACAAGAAAATGATAATTAATAATGGCTTATACTATTGTACTATTGACCAAGGATTTTTTTCTAGTAGATATTTTGGATAGGGAGAAGGAAAATATAGCGATTGCAGGGGAATCCCTATCTATATATTACTTATTGTCTTTAATATAAGAACTAACTTAATATTAAATTTAGTTCTAAATACAATACTTTTATTTTGTTTCTCAAATTTATAATTTTTTCTAAAACATTCTTATTAATTATAAAACACTCTCCTCAAGAAATAGTTTCAATACACATAATTAAATAGAGTAATTTAAAAAAATCAACATACATTTATTATAATTAATTAATTTAACTAATTTTTTTAATCTTCTCAAAGTAATTGTCTTAGTTTTATATTAAGAATCAAATGTGGTAATCAATCAAACT